GATATTTTTATGTCTCCTCACTAAGATGAGTTGTGACACAGTCTTTTTTAAGGGGGACGCCCGAGCGTGTACACCCGGGCAAGGAACAAAAATTGCCCGCAGCCCACGCAACCGTCGGTTGCGCTGGCCTCGGCGCGAGCACCGATCCCTCTCTCTGGTGCAATGAGAGGGTGCGACCTCGGGTAGCTATTCGCAAGGACTTGCCACCTCTCAGTATAATTTTCCTCGGTTGTGACTCTCTCCTGAGTGCACTCTGCCCAAGGACAAAGTCACAACTGAGAGACGATAAATAGATGTGTTATAAACCACTCGAAGGAGCGATTTACACACTACTTAAGTTAAGGTTAAGATAATCTAAAGTAATTAAGAAATTAACTAGACAATCCTACCTTACAAACACGTTTCCCGACATTTAATTTGATTGTGACCTTGAAAGAGACATTCAGAAAACAAAGATTCTTCAGCGAGGATGAAATAAAAGTGGCAACAATGCTAAGAAAACAAATATGAAACATCATCGAGTTGTGTAGATTTATTTTTGATCCAATGGAAATTGTCAGCGCCTTACTCTGTGGCATTTTTGCAGGCCTGTCGTCAGCGATTTCGCGGCGGCTTAGACACTGAGGCCAACACAGACGTTCGATCAGTTGAAATTGGATTCAGTTGTGAGATTTACGTTGATTTTAAATGCACCGTAGACGAAATATATAAAACTGGAGGATTGGGACTAAGCATTGTTTCAATTGGTTGAGGGTTTTGTGTATTGTCCAATCGGTGCTTAATTAGACGCAAGCCAGTTTTTCACTTTTGTTTTTTTCTTTACACAGAGGATGCCATAGGGACAAGACATGAAACGTCCCCCCCCAAGAAAGCCCTCTTAGTTCAATCATACAAATGACACAAACTGTTAAATCTAACAAACCAAAAAGGAATTATCCTCCAATTAAAAATTGCTCGATGTCTTCACTACGCAATGTACGCACAGTTAACAGCATCTCTAGATAGTCACTTCCAGTTGTCGCATTTTACATTAATAAAGGCAATACTATGTACAGTAAGGGCTGTGATTTCATTTTTGTCATTCAAGTCTCTAATTCAAATATCGACATTTCATACGAAGTTTAATTGCAATGGTTTGGTGACCCCAGAAATCACCGTGGTGCCTCACCCGGAAGAAAAGCAGTACATGCGAAACAACAGACAGAGCATAACGTACTTCCTCATAGAATGAAACTCTAGTAGGGGTAAAAGTTTTCTTCTCATTCTTCGTGGCATTTTATTTCGTTCTTCTTCTCCTACTTCTCCTTCTACTTCTTCCTCCTCTTCTGCTACATCTTCTTTTTCTCTTCTTATTTTGTCTTACCTCCTCCTCTTCTTCTTCTTCTTCTTCTTCTTCTTCTTCTTCTTCTTCTTCTTCTTCTTCTTCTTCTTCCTCCTCCTCCCTGCCTCATTGCATTCTTCTTCTTCTTCTTCTTCTTCTTCTTCTTCTTTTCTATCGTTCCCCCTCCTTCTTCTTCTTTTTCTTCCCCTTCGTATTTTTCTTCTTATTCTGTTTCCCCTTCTTCTCTTTTCATGCTTCTCCTCTACCATCTCCTCTTCCTACTTCTTCCTCCTTTCCTTCTTCTACTTTTCCTTCTCCTCCTTACTCTTCTCATTCCACTCCTCCACCTTTTCCCCTTCTTCTCTTCCTCCTTATCCTCCTCCTTCTCCTCCTCGTCCCATTTTTCCTTCATCCACTACTACTATTATTTGTTCTTCTTATTCCACTCTTTATCCTTCTTCTACTACTCCCCCTTTTTTTCTCTCCATTTCATTCTTCTTCTTCTGATCCTCTTCCCGCTCCTCCTCCTCCTCCTCCTTGTTTGTGTCGTGTCCGTTCAGGACAAAGAGGTATAAATTTGCCAATACAGAGACTATTCTCTTCTTTTACTTCTCCTCCTATTTATGACAGCTCAGCCCCATTTTGGTCCTGGGTTATCATGGCTCTCCACATCATCCTACCCCTTTTAGTTTAATTAATATTCGCTCTTTTTATCATCCTCGATTTCACTATTGAAGCCCACAACTGTCCACGAAGATAGCCCGTATCTCACTCTAAGACGACCTTCTTCATTATCAGTCCAAGTAATTTCCGCTGTCTCTGATGATGAATCTAAATGTCATTTTTTGGTTCCATTTTCCCTAAGAAGTTTTCGTTGATTTTGCACTTGTCCATGGTATTCTTATCATCCGACTGCAGAACACCATTTCTCTTGCCTCCAAACTTCTCTCCAGCCGTAAGGCAACGATTCAGCATTCACTGTTATGTAGGAGGAATATCATTACACCTCAGTTCAATTAACTATACTGTAACGCAAGAAGTACCTTCTGAACGTCATTTTGTAATAGCTTTTAGAATAAAACTTGGATATTCTTATTTCCCCAGTATAAAATAGACGCAAATATACTAACACTTGTTATCTGATAAAAAGGTTTCCTCACAAAATCCTTATTATATAAATATGCGTACGGACACGCGTGTGTTGTTTAAAAGAACACATGAATTGCAAATCTAATCATGTATTTGCGTCAGTGTCCTCACCATGATCATATTTATGATTTTGATATATTTCGGAAGTTTGGGATGTGAAGTGAAGTTGAAATAGACTCTCTGAAAAAGTAATTCTTATCACGAAGTCGATATGCCAATAAAGGAGTTTGAATTAATTAAGTGTGTGCACTAGGCCTAGAGGCATAATCTTATAATCAAATAAGCTATGTATGTGAGTTATGGCACCTGAATGATAGGCATACACATGTTAACAGATGCACACACACACATATACATACATATATATATATATATATATATATATGTGTGTGTGTGTGTGTGTGTGTGTGTGTGTGTGTCTGTGTCTGTGTCTGTGTTCACGATTTCGAGCATGAACACATTGACAAATTAAATGTTGCTTCGCTTTGCTCTTATCTTTAAGAAGGTACCTGTAACTCGGAGAGATTTTTAGGGATAGACATTATACAATATGAATGCTACTCTCTGAACATCAGTTACAATGATCAGGTGTTAAAAATGGCAAATGATGGCTTCAGTCATAGGATTTTAACTCAGAGATATCCTTCACATAGGCTGGTAGCTAATCCAGGCTGAAGATCTCATTCTGGTCAACTATTTAATCCATACCTGTTGTGGGCGTGCGAAACAAGAAGAGATTAACTCATACCTTTCCCATATCAAGACAATGTTGGGTAACTGAATGACAAACGGAACAATTCTACGTAATGCTTTTCGTCCTCTAATATGACATTATCATACTAAAGTATTGTTCTTATGAATATATATATATATATATATATATATCTGTGTGTGTGTGTAACGCGTGTAACGTGTGTAACAGTCAAATTGTCCTATTGTTCGATTAATCATTGAGTCGTTCTAACTTAGAAATGATTAAAAACATCTTACTGAATTCTCTGAGGTTTTTCTAACACTATTGGAATCTGAACAATAAATAGGTATTTAGCTCCTGTAGTTAATATGATAATCCCTCTTTCTGTTTTGATCTTCTCGTCAACGTTTCCTTCCTACTGTTCCCTCTTTTTTAAAAAGTTATTCACCTTTTGCTTGATGGTTCTTGAATGGGCTTTGAAGATGGAAGTCACAGTATGAATGTTGGTACCATTACTAAAAGCCTGAATTATCTTTTTCCACATCACCATTACTCTGTTATGAAGATATAGTTGGTCTTCACCTAATGATTTTAAACTGTTCTCTTTCTAGCTGAATAACTGAAAAGGGTTTTTGAGTGATTCTTACGATAAATGGTATCAAGATGGATGAACGTCTTATCTAAACATCTGGAAAAAAGAAAGTCAATTTGGTTAGTGATTTTTTAGATATCAAATATTTTGTGGGATGGTCAGTTATCCAATCCTGTTACACGATTTAGACGATTTTCCTGTTACACCCGGAATATGTGCGTGTTTGAGTGATGGTGCGTCTGTCTATGTGTGGATTTCTCTTAGTAAAAATGTTATATTGAGCGAATATCCGTATTTGTGTCGACATTCCTCTTTTTGTCTGTTTTCCTTTTTGTCAATGAAATTGAAATTGAAACTATATCTATAAACAAAGACATTTTTTGTGCGTGTGCTATACTCTGCCAGACGTAATGATGAAGAAACATGACATCGTACCATCGCCAGCGAGACACGCTGCAAGAGCCACTCCGTTTCGCGAGGCTCGTAACTTAATCGAGACTCAATCGCGCCAACCCTCCGAAGGAACGCCATTGAACGAGAGCCAATAACCGCAGAAGTCTCCACTGCCCAAGGAGTAAAAATAAATCTGTCCGCAAGAGAAGAATATTTAACTTTTTTTTTTTTTTTTTTATCTCCGCGTCCTGTTCGACAGACCCCGGCTCAACCGCGGACTTAATCAAATTACCGGCCGAAAACGTATCGGCACAGGTCGTATCCCAAATCAACGACTTCCCCACTTTAAAAGGGAAAACGGTAATCCCATCTGGCTGCTTTCGATCATTACGGTCGAGTCTTACGGGTTCAATTTTGAAAGGGAACCCAGCTGCATCCAGACCTCTTCTGATGATGTCGTTTATTGCTGCATGTCTTGAAAAGCAGCCAGCAGTACGACGATAGGAGAGAGGATGCAAAGCAAACTCATCAATGGAATCCCCACATATGCATCTATGACGTTCATATAATTTGAGCCCAAGATTGATCTTGATTCCGACCTGAGTGCACTCATCATCTAAAAGGATAACGGTAGATGAACCAGGCAACACTACTCGGTTGTGAAGCAGATAATAGACAGACAAGGCGGTGCTGATCCAGAGAGAACCCCAAATTAGTAAAATTGGCCTCACAGTTTATTTTATCCCAGCTTTTCTGTTATGATGCGTCTTGTGTGATAGAAAATAATTTTGGGCTCAGACGATGCATACTTCTTCGAAAGAGCTACCCAAAAAAACACTGACACCATTCACCGTGTATCGCATCAATTAATTCGCAACTGGAAGAAAGAAAAGAAATTAATATGCTGGAAGGGCCAAGTCTGCCGCTGATCGAAGGCTCAGGCCTCCGAAAAGCAAAGGGAGCTTCGCCTGCCTCCAGCCTGTGTCGTCGAAATTAACGTTGCAAATTAACCCCTCGCGTCTCTTAATTGTGATATCTACCTCAAGAATTCCTGTTTGAGGCAGCAAGGGGCACTTCGGAGAGTGTAGAAGAAAATCGGTAGAGCAAAAGTTCTTCTCCAGGAGGAAGAGGGCTGGATGTGCATCAATTAATTGCGATTTCGCATTCATTCTTGCTTGAATGATATGCTTAGTATCCAGACACTTTGGAATGGCCATTGGAAAGAGTGGAGAACGAAGAATATGTATTTCCTCCTTAGGAGTTATTTTTATATCGCGGATAGCACAACCGAAATAATCTACATATAATTCAAATTTATTATCTCTGATTTGAACGAGTTAATCTCTAGTCCAAGAAGAGATAAAGAAGAAATAACTCATCGCAGATTACCAGCTACGGATTCAACGTGTCCTCTCAGCATTGTCTGGTCAAGATACCATATGTTGAAAGGAGAGGCGATGGAACGATCTGTCCCGTTGACAGCCATTGCAAATAGTAGCGGACCAAGTTGATCATCTTGCTGGATTCCGGTAGCAGAAGAGATAATATTATCGGAGGCGATCAACATACGAAAGATGACTCAGTTGAAATATGGAAGGAGTCCTTGATGGCAAACTTGTTTCAGTTTTATGTGTATATGTATTTACTAGTGAGTCAGTCAAAATGACGTGACTCATTTTATAGTCCACCAAGAGAAGGGTTAACCAATCAGAAGACGTAGAATATTCAATCCGTCGTGTATAAAGGCGGCCATTTTGTTTACTCTATCCGAATGTCCAGTGCCATCTTGTCAGGCGAAGAGGAACAGATGGAAGAACTACGCTCTGCTACTTTACCGGGATATCCACTGTTAACCTGAAATACGCTTCCCTACTGTCTTCGAAATATTCACTGCTAAGCTCTGCATTCTATATTTAAAGACGACTGTCATCATGAACAACAAAACTTCCAGGGTATGATCCCTTCTGATACTATTGAAAGAGTTTTTCATATCCAGTTTTAATATGATACGTGGGGAAACAGGTGATATATTCTCGAAAAATGATCATGTAGCATGAGCCGCGGCATCACATCCGCCCTGTATGCCTACACCGAGCTGGACTGGTCGCAATTCTTCTTCAAAGCAATTCTACATACGATTTTTCCTGCGAGTCGACGTGTTACCAAGACCGATAGGGCCGATACCTTCGTCCTTTTTTTTTAAACCGTTAAGTTGGATGTCGCGAGCATGTTGGGGTATCTTAGCTCAGAGAAGGGTATTAATAAGAGCTGTTATGGATTTTTAAAATGTTCACCGGATTCGGCAGTGTGAGCAGAAATTAAGTCCTTCATGTGGCCGTCCACACCGCTACTGCTGCCCACCGAGAAAGACTTCAGAACGGCCACTAAAGCTTCCTTCGTGATTAGAATATTGGAATCATTGTTTTTCATCTGAACAACTCTGACATCTGATAGTGGCGCAGGATATTTCCGAAGGGACGCTGTGAGAACTTTTGGTGTATTAGCTAGTATAGTATCGGATGAGGCCAATACTCTATCTGCAGTTGAGACATTACCCTCGATCACCTTAGCATTGACAAGGGGCCGGAGTCTCTTTGAATCGTTGACTGTAGATGAAGGATGAAATCTATTAAGATTACGAAGATTAGAAAATTCGGTGGCATTTATTTTAAACAAATTGAATAAAGGAATGTTATTTTTCATAATAGATGAGACAAACACGGCCTGAGGATTGAGGGTGCCCTCAAAACTTCACTGGCGTCTATTTTGAAAGAATATTTATTCAGTTTAGCCAAATTCATTTGTATTATTTTTCTTTTTCTTTCTATCACCTTTTTCCCTGACTGTCGAACATTGTGACAATAGAAAATCTACCAAGAATGGTGATTTAATCCAAGAGCGTGGACACAAATTTAGCGTGGCCGAAATAGCGCTCAAGACACTTTACAGACATTTTCGTCGCAGTGGATTATTTTCTCTTTTAATCAAAGTAGCATTCCCTATGTCAAAATTGTGTTCAGTTTCATTACATTGAACAACCGATGCATTTTTTTGTGGTGTATTTAAAAATCTGCCTTTTCTGTTCATATAGTCTTTTGTTTAAAATTCTTGAGGTTTCTCCAATATATTCATTCTGGCAATTCCAGGACTTCATAGAGTAAAATCCTCCTTCAACTTTTCGCTTGTTTTTAATTGATTAAGTCATTGATTGTTTTTGATGAAGCTGCGAAAAATTTTACGTTAAGTTTAGGTGTTGTAGAGTAGTTTTCACAGTGGAGACTTGTATTTCACTAAGTCGGTCCTAAATTAGGTTCGACGTACAAAACGTTAGGAACTTGAAATAATAGTTAATGACGCAGCAATCTAGTTGTGGTGGTTGATACTTCAATGTCCGACATCGACTGACTCACCAACTCCACTGAGCTCCCTGGCGACTGCTACTACTACTATTTATTATATGTGGGTGAGTCTATTACAATAGAAAAGGTATGTTCTAGTATAACATTAGGGAAACTCAGTGGGTAGAATAATAATATTTTTGAATTGTTTGGTTTGTCAGGATGGACAGTCCTTAAAGAAAATGTGCTCCCCAGATATTCGAATGCACATACCAGAATTATCCCTATGGTTATTGGATTGGCGACAAAGGCTATGCTTCAAATTATTTTATAAGCTATGTGTAGGAATAATTGTAGATACGTCTGTGGTTATTTGTAGCGATTTTAGGTTAACGACTTCTTTTCTTGCACTTCTTGCTTGTGGAACTCCGTTCCGTTTTCATCCTTTCCAGTTAACTTTTACCTTTAAAAATGTCAATGCAATGTCAATCGCTATCTACTGTCTGCCCTATTACTCTGCTTTTCTTCTCGCTACTTAGTAATGATTCTCTTTCCAAATACTACCACACCTTGTAGCCTCTTGTGGCTTTATAATCTTGCTTGGGGTGAACATAGTTTAACAAACACAAGCTATGCCTATTGTCTGTTTTCTAATAAAATTCACTCCAAAATTATAAGAAGACAAATTCAATGAATGATAAAAATCCCTTGCTGAAATAATTAAAAAAGAAGAATATATTCTATTGTACATTATTTACATGTAGATTATTGTCCTTATCATTGTTGTTTCTATCAGATCATTATGACCATTGTGTCTCCACTCCGTGTATTGATCTGCATAACTTTCAGGGAATTTTACGCTAAAACCTTTGTTTAGTCTGTAGGGGTAGACATTTATGAGGGTAGACTAAAGAACATCTTATCTAGTTCTTATTTTAGTAGTGCTCAGTTATTGCTTACAATAGGCTAGGGAATTAAAGTGTTGTTTTGTGAATGTTATGATATAGTAATTGTTAGTTCAATCAATGGGCCGGGCAGTGTGTACTTGGACTCGGTAGAAACAGGATGAAAATTAGCTGAGATGCACTATGATAAAATATACGTTCTCGAATCTAAGCAATATATTAAGAAACAGAAAAATATAATTAAAACAAATAAAAGAGTGCTAATATTCTATATAATAGCATAATGAGGACAGAGCGGCAACTGAGGAAAATTATACTGAAGAGGTGCCCAGCCCCGGGGAACAGCTGCCAGGCCGCGCCCTCCCATTGCACAAGAGGGAGGGATCGGTGCTCGCACCGAGGCCAGCACAGCCGACGGTTCAGGGGACTGAGGGGAATTTTTGTCCCTGCCCGAGTGTACGCGCTCGGGTCCCCACAGTAATCCGACCTTGTGTCACATCTCATTCTCGTGGGGGAATGAGTAAACACCGTATATAATAGAATTCCTCCTCTATGGCAGTGAATGATGGAAAATCTCCTCACAGATGGAGAAGACGATTGAGGCAACAAAAATGTGGTTCTATTGAAGTATGTTGGAAAATAGAAACAGAAAGGACAGTAATACATAAGGATTCTACCGTAGAATTCAAAATATACCATGATGACTGAACATGTGAGTAACATCGAAGATCCCTTATAGTTAGAATCATAAAAAAAGATCCTTTATAGTTAAAATCAGAAATAGGTAGTTGTAAAATCTTGGACACATAATAAATTAATGGTTTAAAGTGTTGTTTCAATCCAGATAACGTTCAGGAATTCCAAACTGGAGCGTTTGTTTAATCTGCTTAAACTTTAAAAATTTAAATGCAATGTCAATCGCTATCTACTGTTTTCTTGATTACAATTTTTGCTCTCGCTCATTACTAATATTTCTGTTTCTAATTCCTCCACAGCCAGTAACCCCTTGTGTCTTACCGGCTTTACTGTCTTACATAGAGTAAACTCAATTAAAATGAAGTTATTACAAACATTTCACCCTTCCTGGCATTTCAGTTATCCTTATGTGGATTATTTATTAACAAAAGTGATAAACATTATTTACATTATTCGGACTATTGTCCTCATCTTTGTCGACATATTTATCACAATGTTTCGGCCGTTGTACGCTCCGGCCTTCTTTTGAATTGTGAACGTTATAATTTATAGTATTTTCGTTATATATATATATATATATATATATATATATATATATATATATATATATATAGGTTGTTGCAGCAAAATCCAACACTTGGCAATGAGAAAACGAAATAGGCAATAAAAACAGAAGTTGTATATGCAGATACGAGACAGTTTTACAACTAACTAACTTTTTTTTCTCCACCCTTTTCCACCATTGAATGAGCGCAGGGAAGCGGTAGTAGCTTATTTTCATGTCGGGAGGAAGTGGTAGGTATGTGAGAACAAGGACGATTTTACCGCCAAACAAAAGGCCTACAACGTTTGTTCTTCGGCCGTTAGGACCGACGTGTTCGTCGCCGCCGTCAAGGAGACATTCGACGATGAAGGAAGCCAGAGCTACGCCAAGATCACCGCTGACATGGGCTGTCACACGTCGACGATCTGCCGAACGATCAGGAAGGGCATTGGTTACTCCTCCTACCGCAAGTCTCACCGCATGCTCATCACGAATTCCTCCAAGGAATCGTGTAAGGTCAAGACGGTGGCTTTGCCGAACGAGTTCAGGCACGGGGTGCTGAGGTTCTTCTTTGATGAAAAGAATTTTATCCAGGACGAGACGAGCAACAGGCAGAACGACAGTTGGATCTGCAAAGACATCGACGAGGTTCGCGTCGTGAAGCATGCGAAGTTTCCCTCCTCCGTCATGGTCCTTGGCATCATCTCCAGCGAGAGGGACGTCATGCATCCATTCTTCTTTCAAAAGTGCCTGAAAATCACCGCTGAGTTTTACCAGGTGGTGCTGAGGAGCCTGGTGAAGCCCTGGTTGGACGAGATCGTCGCCGAACGCCCCTACGTCTTCATGCAGGACTCCGCTCCTGCAAACAAGGCCAAGACAGTCCAGACGTGGCTGGTCAACAATGTTCCTCGCTGGAATTGAGGCCGCCCTTCTTCGCCCTTCTCACCCGACCTTGAGTATTTCTTCTGGGGCGTGATCGAGGCCAAGACCAACCAGCATGCCCACATCACACTCTGAAGGCTGCCATCGTGGAGGCGTTCGCCGCTATGGACAATGACATGGTCGCCAAAGCGTGTGACTCATT